GACGTGATCAGACATGTAAGTACTGCTAAGTACTCCGAGTACTAACCCAATCACCGTAAAACAGCTCTTTCTTTTTACTAGAGAAGAGAAGAAAGCGGTGTTAATTACTGTAGTTTGTGCTGCAGTCAATACTGAATGTCTCTACTGTTGCTATCCAGTGCAGATGATGGCTTGGTGTGGTGGTGGGTGGCGCGGTGAAGACTGAAGGCATAGATTTGTGAAAAAGAATTACATTTCTAAATTTTTGATTTGTGTTGCAAAATAGCTTGACAATGTACAGTTCACTGGTCTTAGTGGTATTTTCGTATTGAGGATGTGGTTTGGCATCAAAATTTATTTTATTTATGCTATAGTGGTCACCTCACCTAAAAAAAATCGTCATCTGCCAATGTCCACTCATGCATATCCTCTTTGATAATCACGAATCGTTGCTTAATTTACTAGCTAGCCAAATCTAGAATTACTTTTTTTTTATTTTCTAAAGAATCCATGTGCATGCTTAATTTGCAAATTTTCCCTTGCATGGTGTTTCTGTCTGTTTTATGTTTTCTTTTTTGCACCGATTGCAAATTAACTTGACTGGTCTATTCTAAGAGATCAAAAAGGGTAATTAAGAGCAGTTACAAGACCATAAGTTAATCATGTTACTCTCTCTCTCTGTCTCGTGCAGTAGTTTCTTCCTCTGTTTACTAGAAGAAGATTAACATGGGCCATGGAGGTGTGGCCCCAAAGTTTGTGCCGTTCCATCTATTGGAAGAAATGACAGATCGTTTCTCTGAACACCGCAGCTTAGGTAGCGGCTCTTATGGAAAAGTTTACATGGTACAGTTATCTAAACGTTACTTAAAGTTCTTCGTGTGTTTGACAACCAAAACTGACAACAACAAACAGATACTACAGATCAAATCTATCACAAATATGATTTGATAATGGTGTTGAATAGGGAGTGGAGAAGAATGGGAAGAAGATTCACTACGAGAAACTGAAATTTTACTGTGTATTAATTGTTTTCCTGTCGGGCCCGCGCTAGCGCACAAGACAATGGGCTTGCACTGTCGGCCCAAACCAGCACGCCAGGAGTAAAGCAGTTATCCTGTGTGCCGGCTGTGGGAACTCACAGAAAAATTAATATGGCTGTCGGTCCGCGGCTGGCCCACAGGCTTAGCCCATTTCGCGCCATAGATTTGATGTGCGCGCCAAATTGCCCGCAGCTCGGCAAATTTTCCGCCCATCGTCGCTGGTCAAAGCCTACGGTAAAAGAAAATCCCCTTATCTCTAGTTTCACCGAGCTCTTTCCAGAGAGCGCGAGAGCATCCCAAATCCCTAGCCGCCGCCGCTGGTGTACCCCAAATCCCTCGCCGCCGGCTGCACCTCCTCAAATCCTAGCCTCCCCGAACCTCTCACCCGCCCCTGCGCTCTATTCCTCGGCTCGCCAACCACTGAACCGCAGCCTCAGCATCGAACGTCGCCGTCCTCGTCTCAGCCGCCGCCGCCGCCGTCCTCGTCCCAGCCGTGGTCGTCGCCGTCCAAGTCACAGCCGCCGCCGTCGCCGTCCAAGTCCCAGCCGCCGTCGTCGCCGTCCTCGTCCAAGCCGCCGCCACCGCCGTCCTCATCCCAGTCGCCTTCGTCACCGTCCCGCCACCGCAGCTCCATCGTCCTCCAACCGCCGTCCGTTCCCCATCAAGGTGCCCAATGCTTTCAATTTACTTCCCTGGCTTTGTGCATATCCACTAAACGCAAGTGCTTTATGTTCCTCATTGGATTTGTATGTGTCCTTTTTCAGTCATCTCGTCCTCTGCCTAGTTCAGGAAGTGGTGAGGCTCGCTTGGATCCAGCACAGGGTGTTTCCACTCTACTGGATGGCTATTAACTCAGTACGTAATTCATTCTGCCCCCTTCCTCCACTATACATGCTCTTGTCTTGTGCTAGTAGATCTCTCTGGTTCACATCCTACTGCTAGAAATCAGTAGTAGATTTGTCAAGGACAGAAATCCAGTAGCAGTGGTGAGGCTACACACATCTTTGTGGTGTCAACTGACATCACAGATTTTTGCAAAATAGCCTTAGCTTGGTCATGTAGGTAAAAAAAATACTTTTCTGAAGAAATACAGCAGATTGACATCACAAGCTTCCAACTTTAGCACTGATACAGTTAGTACTAATTCACTTGGGAAGTAAAATGAAATGACCAGTTCGATTCATTATTTCGATTTGTTGATAGGCAGCTTGTTCTTTCATTATTTTACCTTTTCTTCCTTGCCATTGTATTTAGTTACTGCATGCTTGAGTAATTGACTGATTTCTCAAATATAGCCTATGCATGTCTTGTTTTCTGGTTATGGATATTGTATAGTACTGCATATCTTGTTTCTTTGTAATATAATGCTTACCAAAGGTTTCAACATTTTGTTGTTACCATTGTTGTTTGAGCATAATTCTTTTTCATTTCCTACCATCCTTATTCTAATTCTCTTAAATTGCTATGTTGTCTATAATAGGCTTAGATCTTGGATCTGCTAGTGGACTTTGGGAGTTTGTTAGCCAGCTTGGTGACTCCACACTTTTTCACTATTTCAGCAAGCCTTTGGTAAGCATTTAACTTTCAGCTTTAAATGTTTATCTTATGTGTACATCTATTTGATTCCAATTGCTACACATGTATTGCTGCTGCTGAATAACTCATCTTAAGTATGATGTGTTGAGATTAAATAATAAAATAGCTGATATATTCCACTTTCAACACATAATTTGTTAGATGGCAGATCTTGCATGGATGTATAGTGGTTGGCAGTATGGTCAAATACCTTCTAACTTATGGCTTGAACAAACCAACCGATTTCTAGACCATGCATTCTCTTGTCCTGGTGTAGCCGAATGTGGTAAAATCAAGTGTCCATGTGCCAAGTGTCGTAATTATAATAAGCGCGGCAGGGATGAGGTAGAGAAACACTTGTATAAATACGGGTTTAGGGAAAACTATGAAACGTGGATAGAACATGGTGAGAAGTATGTTCCTAGCCAAGATGGATCTTCCTCTGCCACAAATTGTGTGAGGCATGATGAAATTGACCGAATGGACAATATGTTAGTTGACCTAGGTGGCAACTGTCCTCCACCAATTGATGAAGAACCAACCTCCTCTGCCAAGGCTTTCTATAGGATGGTTAGCAGTGCTGATGAAATTGTCCATGAGAACACAACACACTCACGTCTTTCTGCAGTAGCCCGTTTGCTAGTACTAGAATCTCAGTATAATATGTCAATTGCAGAATATGATGATGTGTTACAAATCATCTATGAACTTATGCCTCCGGGTGCTAGCTTGTCCAAGGACTTCTACCAATCTAAGAAACTCTTAGAAGGCCTTGGTATGCCTTATGTCAAGATTGATGTCTGTAAAAATAACTGCATGTTGTACTATAAAGATAATGAGCATAAAGAGAAGTGTGACATCTGCGGTACATCTCGCTACGAGGAAGGCCAGAATAAAGTCCCACGTAAAGTGTTGAGATATCTCCCTCTGAAAGATAGATTACAGAGGTTGTATGCACATGAGGAAATAGCAAAACATATGCAGTCGCATAGTCGTTCCAATTCTGATAAGATGGTCCACCCTATTGATGGTGAAGCTTGGCAAGGGTTTGACAAGGAGTTCCCAGAATTTGCAGAAGATCGTAGAAATGTCCGTCTTGTCATAGCTGGTGATGGTTTTACACCATACAAGTTGAATGCTGCTCCATATACTTGCTAGCCTATTTTCATAGCTCCATTAAACCTTCCACCCGGTATTCTCTTGAAACCAGAGTATATATTCCTTAGCCTTGTTATCCCTGGTCCTGAACATCCTGGAAAAAATTTGAGTGTCCTAATGCAACCTTTAGCTGATGAACTGATGCAATTGTGGGACGGGGTTGAAACATGGGATGCTTATCACAAGGTAAACTTCCCAATGAAAGCGGCATTTCTATGGTCAGTCCACGACTTTCCTGCGTTTGGTATGTTCGCTGGGTGGAGCACCCATGGCAAGCTAGCATGCCCCGAATGCATGAGTGATTCCAAAGCATTTACTCTTCAATATGGGCGGAAGCCTTGCTGGTTTGATTGTCATAGGCGCTTTCTACCTCCAGATCATGAATTCAGATTCCAAGCCAATTCATTTAGAAAGGATACAATAGTGTTAGAAGGGCCACCAAGGTGTTTAACAGGAGAGGAAGTGGAAACTCACATGTACACACATGTGAATGACACCTTCAATTACAATAAATTGCACAATTGGACTCACATAAGTTGCTTTTGGCAACTTCCATACTTCAAAAAGTTGAAGCTCCGACACAACATTGATGTGATGCACAATGAAAGAAATGTAGCTGAAGCTATATTTAACACATGCTTTGACATTCCCGATAAAACTAAAGATAATGTGAAGGCAAGAAAAGATCTAGCTGAAATTTGCAACCGTCCTTCGATGCACTTGAAATTGAAGGACAATGGGAAGTGGGACAAGCCAAGAGCACCTTTTGTCATCGATAAGAAGGATGTGATAACCATTCTGAAATGGTTCCAAGAGCTGAAGTTCCCTGATGTGTATGCATCAAGCTTTAGACGGGGAGTTAGCCTACTGCACAGAAAGATTATTGGCCTCAAAAGTCATGATTACCATATCTTCATGGAACGCCTACTTCCTGTTGCATTTCGTGGCTTCCTTCCAGAGGACATATGGAAGTGTCTGGCCGAGCTAAGTTATTTCTATAGGCAGCTATGTGCAAAAGAACTTAGCAAGGATACCGTACATTCACTTGAGAAGAATGTTGTTGTTCTTGTATGCAAATTGGAGAAGATATTCCCTCCTGGTTTCTTCAATCCCATGCAACATTTAATCATACATCTTCCATATCAAGCTCGGCTAGGAGGTCCTGTATCAGCTCGATGGATGTACATCTATGAAAGGTAATCATCCATCTTCCTAATCAAGCTCGTCTAGTACTAATAAAGGTTAACGATGCTCCATGACACGATAGAGGTTAACGATGACCAATTTGACACCGAGTGTCTCAACCTTGCATGTCTCCAGCACAACAATATTGTGCAGTTGGTTGGCTATTGTCATGATACTAAGCGAGAATACATATGGCACGACGGAAAACTTGTTCCTGCTCACGGGACAAAGAGGGCACTTTGCTTGGAGTACATGAATAACGGAACCCTTGATAAATTTATTTCTGGTATGATAGCGCCCTGCTTTGGGAATCCTTTCTGAAATCAGCATTCCATTAAGCTTATTTTGTCATTGCAGATGAATCGAAGGTACATGATTGGTGCACACGTTTTTCAATAATCAAGGGAATCTGCAATGGTTTAAAATACCTTCACAAGGATCTGGAATCTCCAATGTATCACTTGGATTTAAAACTAGCCAATATATTGCTGAATGAGAATATGGTACCGAAAATCGCAGATTTCGGTTTGTCGCGGCTCTTTGAAGGTCAGAAGACACAAAGGACAAAGAGTATTATAGGAACACAGTAAGCTTAATTAACCTTTCATGTGACATTTAACTATTCACAACGAGCATGAAATTTGTTTGCATTAAAAGGTGCATAGTAAAATAACATCCATGATGTATTTTGCAGAGGATACCTACCGCCAGAATATCGTAATGGGGAAATAATCTCAAATAAGTTTGATATATACAGCTTAGGTGTTGTAATCATAAAGATAATGACAGGACCTCGGGGCTACTTTAGTAGTGCTGAGATACCTTCCTGGGAATTCATTAAGAATGTAAGAATATTGTCTTATATGTGTTTTTTGAAGGTATTTTCAGGTGGAATGAATGAATTCCCGGGAAGGTATCTCAGCACTTCTAATATACTCCCATTTTGTATGCTCTGAACTGGCAGGTGCACGAAAGATGGAGGAAAAGGCTACAGGTGACATCGGAGTATCAGCTAGAGTCGTATTCTAAACAAGTCAAGAGGTGCATTGAGATAGCTGTAAGTTGCTTGGAGACTGATCGAAACAAAAGGCCAAGTATAGGGGACATCGTCCATGAGCTGAATAAGACATATACTATGCTTCAATTTGGTAGTGGATTAACAAACGACCAAGGGTTATCTTTTTCATCAATAGACCAGGTGATCACAAATGGAACAATATTTTTGTTCATTCTTTTTTTTTGCTCATTTCGTCCTACGAAACAAATTTAATCAGTTGGTATATTTGGTGCACTCGGTGAAATATTATCCTAATTGCTATAGAACATTTTTAAGGTTTGATAATGAGATAATCTACACTGAACAATTTATGTTATATACACCTACAAGAATCACGTCACGTTGTATAAGGAAGCCCTATAGTTTACATAACTTGCTTATGCCTGTTTGCTGTTGATATTCAAGACAATGGGTTTTGCTGACAAAATTATGTTAGAACACTGCAATTTATAAAGACTGAAACAAACATGAGTAGATTAATTCTAGACAAAAGTATGGGAAGTAAAACAATTTTGTTAAATTTTCATGTTTCATTAAAACTATTATTGCAGCACTCACAAATAACCCGTCACTCATTCCACCTGAAAATACCTGCAGCTGTGGTCATGAAAATAATAAATTGGACGGGGTAAATTCTGCTGAAAATACGGAAACGGAAGGAGAAAATAGAGTCTATAATTTATTTCTTCCTATTTTTCTTGTTTGTGTAGTTGATATATCTAGAAGAAGTTGAGGTTAAAATTTCAATCCTAACTACTAATCATGACTTGAGTTTCGGTTGGTGAACACAGAGCCCTCGGTTGAAGATGGCAACCAGCAGCGCCAACTGCATGATGCTCACATCAAGATCACTACGGATTGCCAACAACCTGCCCCAGTACTGGAGATGGATTTCTCTGCCAGCGGATCCCAGGTTTGCTCACCGAACACCCGAACCACAAAAATTCTGGGACGGCTTCATCCACAGATGATCAATTAATTATTGGTTTGTATCATATAAAGATTTGCAGAATGCGTGGAGCTCCTGAGTGTGTACTTTTTCGCCGTGATCGGCGAGATCCCGCCGGGGGACCTCCCCGCTGGCACAAGCTACATAGTTTACCTTGTGTACAAGCTGGCGAACAGCACGTCCGGCCTGAGAGGCTGCGTGCAGACGTCGTCGCTCAGGCTTCACGGCGAGAGGATCGTCCCCGGCAGCACCCGCGGGGTTAGCCTCCACCCCGAAGTGTGCGGGTCAGCCAGTGACATTACCTACCCCGTGACAAGGGGTGACGGCTGGTTGGAGCTAAGGCTGGCCGAGTTTGAAAATGATGATGATATGCTCGCAGAGAGGGGGGTGATAGTAGATCTCCGCGAGGAGAACGACGGCGTCCAGAAGAGAGGCCTCATCATTGGGGGCATGGAATTCAGGAGCAACTAGTGTGGTCATAATACAGTACTTCTGTAATTCATTCCATTATTTCAATGGATATGTTTGTTTCTCGAAAAAGGAGGTTAATAAATATGTTTGTAATACAATGATTGTTGCATATGTGAGCAATTTTTTCAAGTGATTCAGTCCGGAAATAAAGAGACCAAGAATAATCTATAGCAGAAGTGATAAGAACAGGTATTGAGTGAGTGTAGCAACCTTTGTCATAGCAGCGACGGTACGTCAGAGTATTTTGGACCAATGAGGAGGAAATAGTCGACACCGAGGAATCAAACAGTCGGTTGTCGTGTAGTCGAGGGCAAAGAAGTCACATCGAGACGCTCAAAATTTTTGTATCCTCCCTCACTTGGGTTCTTAAGTGACACGATTTCAGAGGCCAGCCCCATAGCGTCATGCACACTGTCCGAGATGAGAAAACCTAGATGTGCGCAAGGCTCTTCTAGACGTGGGTTGTGTGAGCAAACTCTTCTAGACGAGTAATAACACAACCATAAGAGAGGACACTTGAGGGTTCACCAACCAGGCAATTTTTTTCTGAGACAAACACACCATTGGTCATCGAACTCTCGTGAGATGAGCACATTGGTCACACAAGTGTCAAAACATGGAAAACGGGTCAGTTTGGTTTGTTTTATGAGCAAACAGGTCACTCCCGTGACATTAGCCGTTGTCGCTGCCCACGTGGCGTTGTGAGTAAGCGGTGGCTTGGTGTACATTGCAAGAAAGCCCCTAGAAAGAATACCATGTTCATTACTGACCCTGAGCAACCGCCCCCCCATCCCCGACCTTGCGACATGACGGCGGCTGGGTGCCCGTCGGCTTCCTCCGTAGGTTGCGGTGGCGGAGAGGATGGCGAGATAGCCGCATCCCCTACACTAGCTGCGCTGGCTGACGGCGACGACGAATCTGCGGAACCTCACGGCAGCGGTGATTGTGGTGAAACCGCCGCCAGCGTGGTTGATGGCGCTGAACTGCTTCCTCGACGACGGTTTCCCTGGGATGATGCTCCCGATTATGGTAAGATATTCTCACTGTTTCTCTTCCCCTTCCTTTCTGCCTCTCAGCAGTATTTTCTAGGGTTTGAAGAATTGGGGATTTTTTGTTAGAGATTTGGATGAATTTAGATTCAAATAAGTGGTTAGGGTTTAGTTGCCAATAGAGACGTTTGTAGTTGTCAACAAAGAGATTAATTTGTATTTTTTTTTTCTTGCAAAGCAGGTGATTGCAGTGATTTATTTAGCTTAGTAATACATCACAATGGATGGTTCTGTGGTGTTGGATCGAACCGTGTTTACATGCAGGAATAAATTGATGTTTTTTATGGCTGTGACAAGGGAACATTCTGTTGTGCTCTCGTGGAATGGATGATCAAGCAACTAGGATATGTTGTGCCAGTCATGGGGTTTCCAGTGTACTGGTTGGATCCTGGCAAAACAGTTGTAGATGGTTTGAAGCAGATGCACTTTCAAATGCATGCATTATCTATGCCAGATTCAGCTTGTGCAAGAGGTGGTCACAAGATGCATGTGTACATTGATCATGACAATGTTCTTGAGAAACAACTTTGGGATGATGTGCTTGTGCAGTCAGTTGAGCTACCTAAAGTAATTAGTCCTTGCAAAAAGGAATTTGAGACAGAGCACATACCAGCTAGGAATTGTATGCCTACATTCAGTGAGCATATGTTCAACATGATGTCAGGTTGGAGAGTTCTGCAAGGACAACACATTCATGTCTGCTAGGAGGAAATTGAGTACTAATTTTGTGAAAGAAGAAGTTGTCATGAAAGAGAAGGGGAAGGAGAATTTGTTTCCTGAGGTTTTAGAGCAAGATCAATTTGCTGTTGAGCAAGAAGAGGTAATAAGAGAAGGGGAAGAAGAGGAGTTTGTTTGTGAGAAACAAGAGGAACTTGCCTGTGATGAAGAAGAGGAATTTGGTAGTGAGAGCGGGGAGGAGGAGGGGGGGACCTTGCATATCAATCAGACTCTAGTGTTGATCCAGATTTTGCAGATTCTGACTATGGTTTTGAAGCTGGAGATGACACTTTGTTTGGTGAAAATGCTGACACTTTTGTCCCAGATGACATAATTGCTGCAGCTAGGAAAGTGCTGAAGGAAGATGCAAACAATGAAGATCCAGATGTTGTTGATACAGAGAAAATAGATCTCCCACATAATGAAGACAGGCAGAAATTTGACTTCCCTGCTTTCAACAAATTGACAGACATGGAAGATCCAGTTTTTAAACTTGGGATGGTTTTTTCAAACCCTCTGAACTTAGGTCTGCATTGTTCATGTACATAGTGAAGAATAGAGTAAAAATTAAGAAGACAAGGAACAATTCTACTAGAATTGAAGTAAAGTGTGTGGAAGGCTGTCCTTGGAGAATGATTGTTGTTAAGGATAGTAGAGTTGAGTGCATGCTAGTAAAAACATATGTTGGAGAGCATACTTGTGATATGGTGTGGGAAGTGAAAGAACTGATAGCTCCATTGCTAGCTAGAAAGTTTGTTGAAGATTTCAGAGATGACCCAAAGATGAATTTGACTTCTTTTCAAAACAAAGTGCAGAAGAAGTACAACATGAAGCCCAATAGATTTAAGTTAGCAAGAGCTAGGTTAGCTTGTCTGAAAAAGATCAGAGGAGATGAGGAGGCCCAATATGAACAGCTTTGGGACTATGGGCATGAGCTAAGGAGAGCAAACCCAGGCACCACTTTCTACTTCAAAATGATGGGTGAAACTTTGAGCACTCTATACTTATGTCTGGATGCATGCAAAAGAGGATGGCTACTGTCATGCAGGCCCATTATTTGCCTAGATGGAACTCACATAAGGATCAAGTATGGAGGACATATTCTGACAGCAATTGGAGTAGATCCCAATGATTGCATATACCCAATTGCAGTAGCTATAGTAGAGGTGGAGTGCCATGCTTCATGGAAGTGGTTTCTTACTACTTTGAAAACTAATTTGAACATCATCAACACATCAACAATCACTATAATGAGTGATAAACAAAAGGTTTGCTCAAAATAAATATTCTATTTGTGTTGTGTTGTGTTTATAATATTGTATGTTAACATAATATACATGGAGATCTCATGTAGATATTGTGTTGTGTTCCAGGGTTTGATGGAAGCAGTGAGAGAAATATTCCCTAACTCTGAACATAGGTTCTGTGTTAGACATCTGTACTAGAACCTGAACCAGTTGCACAAGGGAGAGACAGTGAAGAACCACCTTTGGGCATGTGCTAGATCAAGCAACACTACAAGGTGGGAGCAAAACATGGAGAGGTTCAAGGTTGATTGTCCTGAAGCACATGCTTGGTTAGATGAAAAGAAGCCATCTGACTATTCCAGAGCTTTCTTCAGTGATTTTGTCAAGTGTGACATACTTACAAATAATTCATGTGAAGTTTTCAACAAGTAATTATATACTACTAATCTTTTCAACTTCTAAGTACTTCTGCTTATTAAATGTCTATTACTAATGTTTAGTACTACTCTTGTAGATGGATATTAGAAGCTAGAGAGTTGCCTATCCTGTCTATGTTAGAGAACGTTGCTTGCAAGATTGGCATAAGATATGTCAAGATGCAGAAAGAGGCTCTACAGAAGTGGACTGGTCAGATTTGTCCAAAGATAAGATAGAAAGTTCAGAAAAATGCAGATTATGCAGCAAATTGCTTTGCTACTTAATATGGAAAGTCAACTTTCAAAGTTTTGAGCAATGGTGTTAGTTACATTGTAGAGCTAAACATGAGAGCTTGCACTTGCACAAGATGGCAGTTAACAGGCATTCCATGCAACCATGCAATAGCTTGTTGCAGACATGTGAGAATAAAACCTGAACAAAGATTATGGTCCAGTGGTGAAGCCCGTTAGAGATAAGCCTGAATGGGAGCATGTTAATGCCCCAGTAGTGAAACCACCCTTTTATGAGAAGGTTGTTGGTAGACCATCAAGCAAAAAAGAAGAAAAGGTCCTGAAGAAAATGAGGATGGTACAAAGTTGAGCAAACATGGGGCAGTGCCGGCCCTGTGGGGGGGGCAGGGGGGCGGCCGCCCCAGGCCCCCAAAATCTAGGGGGGCCCCCGAGGTATGTATGTAGGCCTATGGCCCATAGTACTGCAGTCTTGACGAACGTGAGTATAGGAAACGTTTGTTCTCAGGAAAGGTAGCGAGAGATCCTCAGGAAAAAAGGAAAGATAGCCAGCAATCAGCGACTGGATGGTTTCCTTCCTGTTACGTTCGACTATTCCATCACGAAGAATCCGGCAACGATTCCCACGTCCCAGCCCTAGCTGCTAGCCGCCGACGCCGTACACGCACGCACGCCCAGATGCACTCCCACCTCGCCGTCCCCTGGTAATCTCCTTCCTAATCTGGTTATGTTCGCCGCCGATTTCAATTCTGAGCCCCCCATCTTCACGCTCCTTTGGCCTTTGCAGCTTTGCTCAATTGCTCTCCTCTCCTCTCGGTCATCTGTAGACTTCAGAAACGTACAGACTACAGAAGTTCGACCATCAGGATTCTGGACATCAGGTTTGAGGTCTATTATTCACACAAGAAATTCTTTTGTTCAGGGCTAGCACCGTTCAACAATTGATACATTTTTTTTCAGCATTGTGTTTGTTCTCATGCCACCCAGCAAGAGGATATATCCATGGGGCAGCGACAAAAGGAAAAAAGAAGAAGTTAGTGAATAAACTGATACACTCACAACGTGGAGGTAGTCACAAATTTCTCAAGCCAAGTAATATTGGTGCTTCCACTACTTCGCCAAACCCATATGATGCGTTGGCGATTGTTGCTATAGTGAAAGAGCAACAAACTAATGAAAATTTGGACTCTGATCTACAAGAAGAAAATATCAACTCCAACATAGGCAATAACAATGTAAGTGGCTCCGAGAATGTAGGTAACTCGTCAGATGCCACTGAGTTAAGGTCAGCTTTGTCTGAGTTACGTCATGCTTCTGACACTGATCCTAAACAGTTTTATTTGCTTCTCAAGGTGTTTTTAGCTGCTACGAGGAAGAAAAAGTTTGACGAAAGTGATTGTCAAGAAGAAATTCTAGAAGCTAAGAAGGCTTTCTGAGTTAAATATTTTAGTGTTTTGGTTGATATGGCGACCAATTCTTTGAATGATAGATTCAAAGAACTCATGGTGTTTAAAGATATATTCGGATTTGTATTGAGCTCTGGCACCCTCACGTCATTAAGTGATAATTAACTTGAAGAATGTTGTACAAAATTTGCACAAACTTCCTGTCTTAATGGTTCATCTGATGTTGAGGTATACGATCTTATTTCTGAATTGAAGATGATGAGATTCACTTTGCCGGATGGGGTAATGTCTGCTATGGAGATTTTCGGACATGTCAAAGAAGTTGATTGTTATCCTAATATCCCCATTGCCTATCGCATCTACTGTGGCTGTGACAGTCGTATCGGCCGAAAGAAATTTTTTGAAATTGAAATTATTGAAGAATTATTTGAGGTCATCATTGACTCAAGATAGGTTAAATTGTTTGGCTACATCATGCATCGAGAAAAAATTATTGGATGAGATTGACATCGACCCCATCATAAGTGACTTTGCATTGAGGAATGTTAGAAGAGAATTTTAAGGTAATAAATTATTTAATACGCATACTGATTTTGGTCCATTCAATTGCTACTAATAATAATTTATATATACATTTTTTACACAAAAGTATATTACAATGACTTGTATATTAAGGGCCCACAATTTTTAGTTTGCCCCGGGCCCCCAAAATCTCAGGACCGGCCCTGACATGGGGTCACTATTCATTGTGGATATTGTGGTTATGAAGGTCATAATAGGAAAGAATGCCCAAGATTGAAGGAGATTGCAAGGGCAGAAGCAGCACAAGCAGCACCAGCAACACAATCTCACACCCAAGTAGCAAAAGAACCAACAGAGGTGCAAGATAAAGAAAGACCAAGGATAAAGAGAAGAAAAACTATGCAAGAGCAAGTGGGCATGCCAATCACAAGGAGAGCTGGCCTACGACGTGGAGGACTGCATCGAGCCCGTCGTCCACCTCCACAAGGGGATTGTTGTGCTGCATTTTCTTCCTTCACCCAGAAAGAGTCTAAGACGGTAGGCATAAGTCAAGTCAATGCCTACTTTTCTACGCGGTAGGTGGGCATCTCATCGGGTTGGTGGTATATATCCAGCTGGGGCTAGCAGGAAGTGGTTCCTTCTCACAAGCTTCATCCCCGTTTCTCCTCTGCTCTCTTCACAACTGCTAGAGGATCCCTCAGGAGTTTGATCTTCACCAGGTCAGTTCTTTTAATTTGGAAGTTGGTTGTTTTCAGATGCTGTTACAACAGCCATTTCTATGGATAGGAGTGATTTCTACTTTTTTTTCCTTGTTATTGCTACATCTTTTACCGTTGTTTGTTTGCCTTTGCCTGTCTGCGTGCAATTTTGATCCAGTGGCCGGAAGTCTAACTCTTCTGTGTTTGTAGTACCTAGATACATGACAACGAATGGATAAACTTCTACTCCATTTTCATGACTTAGTCTACAAACTACAAACAATCCATGTATGCTTACTCTTGTATATGGTAAATATGTCCTTGCTCTGGTAAAAGAGAACTGGTGGCAACCCATAGCTTCTAAATCTGTTTTTGCTCTGCTGAACGAGAACTCACACCAAAGCTTCTTAAATCATCAGAAATGGCTGCTAGCGGTAGCGGAGGTAGAGCTGAAGAGAACAGGCCGAGCGTTCTGAGCACACTGCCGAAGGATCTGCCGTTAGACTTTCTGAAGAATATCACAGACCAGTTTTCAGAGAAGCGTATAATTGGTGAAGGCGCTTTTGGAAACGTTTATAAGGTATGGTTGTGCTTTAACTGTTTCTGTCATTCTGAAAGTTGCTGAAAATGATGATTATATTTCCTGGAAAACGTTGCTGAAAGAGTCTGAGGTTGAACAGGGGACTGTGCCAGATGGGGAAACCATTGCTGTTAAGAAACTTGCTGAAAATTCGCCCCTTACACGAGATAAAGCATTCAATAATGAGGTTCAAAATATTATGGCTCTTCGACATAAAAATATTGTAAGGTTGGTTGGCTACTGTCATGAAAGTCTAAGGAAAGTGGTGCAGAATAATGGAAGATATATTGTTGCTGATATTGTTGAAAGCGTACTCTGCTACGAATATTTACCGTGGGGACCCTTAAGAAGAATCTTTTTGGTACGTCGTACTACCCGATTCAAATTGCATCAATGTTCAAGATTATAATACTCCTATCGTACACTATGAATTGGAGTTTGGCCATCAATCTTTGTTACACCATGTTCAGATTTAAATGCTATACAACGACAATAAAGGTATAACAATCGACATGATCAAAAGAAGTTGCAATTGTACGTAAAAAATTGCATTTTGCGATAATATTTTTGCTATTAGCATGCTGACAAATAAATGATATTGAAGTCATTGTCTTGGAGTACTTCCATAATAAGCATGTGTTTCAATTCTTCAGGAGTAGATACCCAAATGGACTGGGACACACGATTCAACATAATTAAGGGGATCTACGAGGGTTTACTCTTTGTGCACAGCATTCCTATTGTGCATATGGATCTTAAGCCCGAAAATATACTGCTTGATAGTAATATGGTACCGAAAATAGCGGATTTTCGTCTCTCGAGACAATTCGGTCAACAACAAACACGGATGAACACACAAAATGTGGTGGGGTCATAGTAAGTCGATTATGAAATGTGATATAGTTTTGTTCCTTTATTATGATTTAACTTGCATCGGAAGCTCTCTGATAGTACTTATTGTTAATGTTATGACATGCAGTGGATACATAGCTCCTGAATATCTATACAGAGGTGAAATCTCTACAAAGTCGGACATATACAGTTTAGGTGTACTAATCCTTGAGACCACCACAAGAGAGGAGAATTGTTGCGGGAACGAACCATCTGCAGGACAATTTATTAAAAAGGTAACTGGCAATTTTCTGAATAATTTGAACACTAAACTTTAGAAGCTCATATTACAAACAATCTTTTATGGTATATCTTGAGGGGTCATAATTCCGATCTTGTTTGTAGGTACGTGAAAACTGGACAGAGGAGCACATTGTATCAGAGTACCCATCATTAAAAGCAGATTGCCTCCGACAAGTAAAAAAATGCATCGAAATTGGACTGCAATGTGTTGAGACTGATCGGCAGAGGAGACCTACCATAGAGGCAATTATCGACAAGCTCAATGGACGACATTCTAATTGAGCTACAAGGTCATGCTGGTATGAAATTGACTATCCACATGCCATCCTAATGGCGGTTTAGTTTAACAAATTTAAGAATTGATACATTTTTCTCTCATGTGTAGCCAAAAAATGAATGGGTTAAGATATTTGCAACCCTTATATATGCAACCCTTAGTTGGGTACCGATTATTCTTTTGCCAATCATGCATTGTTGCATAAGGTTGTTCATTTTATAATTTCACAGTTTTTTACACTATTAACCCGGAATCTGTAGATTCATGTAGTTATGCTAGTACATTTTTTTTGCGGGGATATGCTAGTACATTTCAGCTGGTCGTAACCTACAGTGTATGGAATTTCAGATCTCCAGTCAGTTTGGGTCTTCTTCAGGAGACATGTGCAAGAAGCAAAGGACATGCTTGGCTGTTTGCCAAAGTTGAAATAATTTGCTTTGATATGTACGTCATTGTGGAACCTATTAACTTCCATTTCTTATGATGATTGCTACTCCACGTATATTTTCTCCTAAATCCTTCAAAGTGCACGCGCACTAACTAGCGCTCGTGAGCGGCCGATCGCTGACCGCACGATCTCGCCAGAGCATGCGCCAGGTGCTAGCTGGTCGAGGCGTTCTCAACCGCTGGAGTTCATCGAGGCCGTGGCCGCCCTCGACGCCCGCCGCCCGCGCCTTCTTCTCCCCTCCAACCGCCCTCCCATCCATGCCATACTCGCGCCTCCACCTCGCCGCCCGCCCGCGCGTGCTCGCC